GTTTAAAGTACATGTTTGTATGTTCACGTACCTATCAACGAATATAGTCTTAAATGTAAAACAAAACATGATTTATATGATTTTCGTTCACTATACTATAAGTGTACATATAAATCAACAACAAAACTATTTTAAATAAAAACTGGTGCTGCTGTTATTGTTGTTGTTGTTGATGTTGCTGTTATTGTTGTTTTGGATGATGATGATGATAATGATGATGATGACGATGACGATGACGATGACGATGATGATGATGATGATGATGATGATGATGACGATGATGATGATGATGATGATGATGATGATAATGATGATGATGATGATGATGATGATGATAATTGATGCTGACGATGACGACGATGATGATGACGATGATGATGATGATGATGATGATGATGATGATGATGATGATGATGATGATAATAATGACGATGATGATGATGATGATGATGATAATGATGATGATGATAACTGGTGTAAGTTTTTTTTTATAATTTCAGCGTCAATAGAAGCTTGAAATGTTTGTTTTCAAATAAAGAGAAATTGGCATGTAAACATTTAATGTTTAAACCTATTCAACTTTTACGGTTACGATGTCGACAATGTCTTTATAACAAGGACAGACTGTTTCGTAACCTACAACAGTTTCCTTTGTTAAGTTATTCCCAGCCTTTGTCAAAGGGACACATTGAAGTTACATTTGCGTTTTGTCACAGAAAACTGTACATTTTCTTTCTTTCCTTAGTCTGTCACAAAAGTAAAAGTTCGTACAAAGAGATCTTTGTTTTTCTTTCCGGAAATCCGATTTATTTCAAAAACCGGAAGTAAGAGTGGGGAGAGATCATTATTTGTTCTAACAAATAATCCCACACTTAAACTGATTAACTGTCGTATACTCTTATCTTATAATATTATCTTGTAACTGTAACTTTGTAATAATATACATTTGAGCCGCGTCACGACAAAACCAGCATAGCGCGTTTGCGACCAGCATGGATCCAGACCAGCCTGCGCATCCGCGCAGTCTGATCAGGATCCATGCTGTTCGCTTACAAACTCTAAAACAAGTAGAGAAACTGATAGCGAACAGCATGGATCCTGATCAGACTGCGCGGATGCGCAGGCTGGTCTGGATCCATGCTGGTCGCAAACCCATTATGTTGGTTTTGTCGTGACACGGCTCATTTGTTTTATATCAAATCAAGAAAAGTGGAGACATTCATGAACTTAATATTGTTAGACCGCTTTCAGCGATGTTATAATTTCAAGAGATATTTTAATAAGCACTTGTGAATTATGTGTATACAGAACATTTCACCCTTTCAACAAATTCAAAGATAAAATCTTTACAATTAAACGCTAGAAACATTAAATAAATGTTTTATATTATACTTTTTTCTTCAATTTTCTGCTAATGATTAACAAGAATAATTATAATAATTGCTTCTCCCTGATTTAAAGTTTTACGACTGTGATATTTACTTTATTTAAATGTATACGTCAAATAATGCATTACTAGTGATATTTACACGTTATATTGTTATATATGTAATGTAATTTAGGATATGAAACAGTGGAGGCACATGTATACAAGTACATGTATTAATATGATCAGCGACCGTTTTCTGTGACAATAATATAATAGTATTATAATAGTATTATAGATAAAATATAAGCTAGTTATAACATTCTAAGTATTCCACTGTTTTATTCAGTATTTAAAATAGCGATGCATATCTTCTGATTTTATATTAATAAAGATGTCAAATTTTCTCCTAATTTATATTAAAAACAATTAGTTCAATAAAAATGTTGTACGAACGAATTTTTGTCATATGTAATCAACATGTAATGCAAGAATATTAACTTAATGATTGAAAGTGTTCATGAAAAGAGTAAAAAAGTCAATGATAACTCTATATTAAGAAAGAGAAGCAATAATTATGAAAAGAAAAGAAATGCAGTGCTACTTAAAATGCTTATACATATATACTGGTCATTGACTGAAATACTTAATAATACTTATTATAAGTCTTTTCACCACAGTTATAACTTCAAATTACACTATGAGTTTAATAAAATCTCATACTCAACTTAATGTACCACGCTTCTTGGCTTAAAAAATGATTTTTGTTTCTGTTGTTTTTTTTTTAATCTAGTGATGTAACGTTAGATTTAAATAACTTATCATAATTAAGTGTGTAAACAATGACTCCACGAGAGTTCATTATCGCTGCTTTTTTTTTACTTTATATGTAAATGAATAAAGATGGTCTAATATAAAGTAACTCTAGAACGAAAGACTGGAACGGTATTCAAATATAAAAAAAAATGAAATGCCAGTCCGTAAGTTGTTATAGCATATTTACCATTCATGTAAAAAGAGATGACAAAATCGAAAGGTTATGATTTCACGTGAAACATTAAAACTCTTAAGAAGATTTGAAATTGTAACGATAATCTATCAATAAATAATGCAGTAACCACTGTATTATAGGTAATGATTTGTTTAGATATCACGGACTCAGTAGAACTATTACATCCTAAAAATATGTTAAATTTGCTTCTTCAAAATAATTTTTTAAATTTTTATTGTGACGAACAATCCGTTTGTGATAAGTCGCGAAGTGTTCCAAAATTACGTCATTTTTGCGCACTTTATGAAAGCATGACATATACAATCAATATTATTATTAAAGAATTAAGTATAAATAATTGTCGGTGTCGTCTCCTTGATAAAACTGTACTTATCTCATATAAGAAACATCTCGTACTAACATCCTTCCCTAAGAAGGTCTCAAACCCAAGGTCTCTGGTTGATAGGTAGGTTTTTAGACAACCAGACCATTTCTCATCATTCTTTATAACCGTTAATAATGTTTCATATAATTAGAAAGACGATAAAAAGAAGTGATTTATTTATAGATATATTGGGATAACGGTATTAATTTAGAATAATTACTCGTTACTTGCACCGGAGACCATGTGTATATGTATAAACATAATCTTGTCCACCCCGTCTGAGTCTCGGTTGCCACGTGATCTGGTTTTCCTCTGATACAAACCATTAGGCCCTTTCAGGCACACAGATGAATATATTCTGTAAAACATAATCTCTTCTTGTCCTTATATCTGCCTTTATCATACTGGTGTCTCAGATTATATACGAATGATGGAACATATAAATATTTGTTGTGAAAACATGGCGGACGGGCGTCTGTGACGGTAGCGTAAAATCATTGTTTCGTGGAAATTGCTTTGTCGGGCGATAAATTATTTTTTCAAACGAAAATCTCAAAATGAAAACAGAGTGGAATTTGTTATCTTTTAACCGTTTCTGCGCGTGTAGACAATACTAGGTACTTGAATCAATGACAACATAAAAAGAAAATTCATAAACGAAAAGCAACTAAAATAAATCGTAATGGGAAGTAAAAAATATAACGTGTGTTTGATTCGTGACAAAATTTAAATGCATGACAAAAATGTCCAAGTAACGTGAGTGCGTATCACTTTTGATTTTTCAATTATCGAGTCAATATTGTTTATATGATTAAAATAGTGTTTAAGTATTTGTAAATTTAAATAAAAAAACTAAAAATAAAAAGACGTTTCTAACACTGGCCAAAAAGGCTCGTGTTTTTAAATGTCCTTAGTCAAGGCCACTTTATTTTAGGACTTAATATAATATAGAAAACAAGTGGGTTTTTTTGTTCGCTTGCTTATTTGTTGATTAAGTTTGTTGTTGTTGTTTGTTTGTTCGTTTTGTTTTGTTTCAAGTTATCATAAATAAGTAGTGATAATAAATTTCGCATGTCTAACCCTTTAAGTTGTTATTACTGTGCTTTTGATATTCTTTCTTTTTTATTTAAGATTAAAATGAAAAACGAACGTTTTGTTTATGTTTATGCTAAACATGTTTATGTTGAACATGTTTATAATGAACATGTTTATTTCGGTGAATTTATTAACGATGAAATACGGCTTGCATGATTCAGCTCGGGTCTTCATGGATTCGTGATGATAAATGCCCAAGCCAGATTCCCCCACAGCCGACACTGTGGCGACACTATTCTATACGTTCTTCTCAATATTCAACTCTGCCTTCTGGCTACTGTGTTCTCTTGTAAACCTGGTTTGCTTTACTTCACGATATCTTTTTTTCTCTTCTTTTTGTTTTTTTGTTGTTGTTGAAATTACGGATACATTTAGATGTTTTTAAAGAGAAGTGTATACCTATTTCAAAACGATGATTTAAAGTGGATTTTCAAATACGCAATAAACAATATTAGCATGACAGCAATTTTAAAACTGAAGAATATGTATCAGATAGCTTGTGACCCTTTCAATGTTTAAGAATCAGGAAACGAAATCAAACTTTTATATTTCTTGTAATTCATATATGTTTTACTAAACACTCAACTAATACCTTTACATGGTTTAAATTTGTCTTAATCATGATTATTTCCACAAATTTTGTTCATAATATTTATGTGTAATATATGTATTTGATATTTACGTCAACAGTATAAAAAGTAAGCGTTACTCATTTTTAAAACATAAGATTAGTATCGTAAAAGAATTTTATGTTGTTTTTATCATATATAATTATGTTTTTTTTCTAAACAGTACATTAAACATTTTATCAGTATATCATATCATTACACAGAACAACAAGCTAACTGTCACTACTTAATGTCACGCGCAAATATCCGTGTAGTATTTGCAAAGTAAACAGATTAAATTCAGAATTTACCGCTAATTCAAAGTCTTAATACAAATACATCAAGATTCGTATCCTTATATTTCTTAAACAAAAGCTTTTCGTTGAATATCCGCCGTGAGTTCTTCAGTGTCCATAGCTTTAACCTGATTCGCTGTGGTGTATTACGTAGCTCGCGTCTGATTGGTTGGAATGACTTTGGAGGCAGGTCTCTCTTCTGCTTGGAGTTGATGAGAATTGGCTGTATGAAACATAAGGCTGTTTTAACAACACTTTGCTAATGTTTAAACACTAACAATTTATGATCTTGACACAAGCGTAGTTGCTTAAGTCTTAAGTGGTTGCCACTTTTGCAAATCTTCAAAGTTCTACTCTCGAAAGTTATGTTTTAGAAAGAGTTCTGAGGTTTTCAAGATTTTCATCTCATTGAAAACACTATGTATTCGAATCACGCTTTTTCAACACCATTTTCTGTTAAGGACATCTTGAGTTGGACAGAACAGCAGCAGGCAGCGGCTCATTATGGGATGGATTTTAATAGTTTTAATATGAATTCCGGTTACTATGGCTACGAAACACCTAGACTAGGAGAACAGATGAATTCTATGTCGCAAATGTCGCCTATGATGAATTCATTAGGAGGAAATTCTTGTCTTTACAGCAGCAACAACACATCACCATCGCTTCAACCAACGTATACTAACCTCACGTGCAGTCCGTCGGTGTCATCAATGACGTCAATGCCGTCGGGAATGCAGTTGCCGTTACAAAACGACGGTATGTCACCAAAGCATGACTCGTACGACACGCATGGTGCACCAACGCCTGGCTCGGAGCAAGATGAAATGCATAACGCAGGACAGGCATTGGCACAGTCATCGCAACCGCCACCTCCAGGTCTCGAACCAGGATCAGTTCTTCCACAAAATAATCAACCCAACCTTCCACAACCAATGATTAAACACGAGACAAGTGATGATATGATGGATAAAGGTGAGTTCTTCTGTTGTTTTTCTATTCTTTCACTCTTAAAAAAATTCTCATTCTGCGATATTTTTCATTTTTTTCTTAGTGTCTGAAAAACAACACGATTTTATGTATTTTAAGACTCTCCTTGCATAGCATGTTGACCTGTACAAGTTCTTCCAATCTCTGCTTTTTATTCACTATAGGTTCAGATTAAGAGTTTACATATTGCATTAAGTGCCTGAAGTAGGGGACTCGAACTGTTTACCCGAATATTGATCTGTTTGCACGAGTTTACACAGGTTCTGTAGATGTTTGAAGGGGGGCCCCTCATATTGATTAGACTAACAAAAGGTATATGCTTTAGATCGATGATTGATAGATTAAGAGATGTACTTTAGTTTTGGAGAAGCGCTCTTTAATTTACACTCTTTGGATAAAAATCTTTTCGTTTTATCACTAAGTACTATAGGTATACTATTACATCTAGGGATAATTATAGCCCTCTTTAACGATCACGATATTTTCGTGTTACTTAAGTTCCAACCTTATAATCGTAAAACATGTTCTCTTTTACACTTTAAGAATAAATAATTAAAATAGAAGTTTTTTGTTACATTATTCCAAAAAATAATTCATCGAACGATACTTTACATACGATTTTGATTTGAATATAATTATAGAGATTTTATTTTTGTTAAACCTTTTTTTTTTAAATATTTGATTGATTTTAATGATGTGATTTATAAACAATATAAAAGAGAAAAACAGTTGTTGATACAATGGGAATAGTGGATGTGAAAAGTTGTTTAAAACCACACGTGTATGGATACCTAAATTCTATTTAATATCTAGGGTTAATTACAGAAATTTGTTTTTATATTGAAAATTGATTTTTTTCTCAAGGTATAAGAACTTAAACAGGTCTTCTCTTAATTTCATTACACATTTCTTCGGAACACCTTGGAACTGTAAAGGTGGATTAATTGCTGCACGAGATACTTTATCTTGGATTTTGCGGAATCCTTCTGATAAGTTATACGTTATGGCATTATTTGGATTTTCCATAGGACAATAAATGACTGTTTAAATGGTGCAGTTATCATAAAGGAGGTATTTAGTAACATAACGCCGTGTGCATCTGGATTTGTGAACGTGGTAAGGGATATTATACATGGAGATTTTACTATACTATTGTAGACATTTGCCATCGCTTGTAAAATCCACGTTAAGGTCAAAAATGACATTAAATACAGATGATTCAACCGGTTTATGGTTTCAAGAGATTTCTTTCTTTTTTTACATGCATATTTTAGAATAACTAGCAATAATACTAAGTAATTAAATTAAGAAAAACATTTTCATACATTTATATATCTGAATACATTGATGATAAAAATGAAGTTTTCGTGCTCGTTAAGTGAAGTTAAAAGCCACATGTCTCCAGATTCTTATTTCTTTGAAATTTTAGAAAGTATTTAAAGTAGTACAACTTATTGTTAATTCAACAAATAAACTATTTTTGCTCTTCCATAAAGCATTTACAATCCACATAAATTACTCACAATATATTAAATCACGTCATACAAAATATCCCTTATCTCCATGAATTAAACAGATAGTGATCAAAAATAATATATCAACTCATATTTTGCATTGAGAATATATAAAGCATTATATATATAAGCCGCGTCGCGACAAAACTAACATAATGGGTTTGTGACCAGCATGGATCCAGACCAGCCTGCGCATCCGCGCAGTCTGATCAGGATACATGCTGTTCGCTGTCAGTTTCTCTACTTGTTATAGAGTTTGTAAGCGAACAGCATGGATCCTGATCATACAAGTCACACATTCTTCGCTAACCTGCAGACATGCAACTTTAAATTCATAAAAGATATATTTTTATGCATTCAGTAAAATATGGTTTCTATTAATTAAAACATGGTCGTTCGGTCTTATTAAAGTTGATTCAATCATAAGATTTTGAATATAACAATTACACTATAAAGACAAATAACTTTTTCTTCCATTGCTTAAATTATTAAACAAAAATCTTATAAAATCTGATATATTGTTCATTTTTAACATTGACATTTCTTTATTCCAGAGGAAAAAAAACTAAACGGTATTTAGGCAATTTTATTCCGTATATCATTAAAAGCCAAACGTTTTACTTTTATGCTTTTCCGCTAACAACAAAAAATAACATAAATCAAAACTCTGGTAATAAAAAGTGTGAGAAAAGGATGGCCAATACTGTATAAAACATCTTAAAAACATTTTCAAAAGACATTAATGCTGGTCAAAAGAATGCGTGCTAGATTTTATTAGCCTGAAATTAGGTCTAAAATAGCGGGCAAACCGTGTCATTTCCAGCACAAACTTGTAATATACACGGAATAAAATACGTTCCCTATAAAACAGTGTGTTGATCTGATTTTTCCCATTTTGAACACTGGCGCTACGGTTCAAAAGTGAAATCAAGGGCTAGGGGGTTACTTGATCTTTAACTTCCAGAAAGTTTTATAACGCATGTACTGACTGAACTTTTACCAACCATATGAAAAAAGAAAATACTCATTAAATACTCCAGTTTGTTGCGTAGACTTGAAATTCCTTTGCTTAAATTTTAAACTGCATAAAAGTTACGATAAAATCAAACTTTATTACATTTAGTCAGTTATTTTTTCCACTCTCGCTCCATTTAAAAGTATGGACAAAACAACAGCAACAACAAAAACAAAGATTAAAGATTAAAAGATTAAAACTGATTAGGATTTATAAAAGTTTATTCTTTTAGCATTGTTCCTTTAGAAGTATATTGTATTTTGGTATATTTAATATTTGAAAAGGCATCGTTCTCCATTTCAGTGTACTCACCAGTCCATCTATAAAACGTATTTGTATACATTTAAAACAGCAACAAAATTGATAGAATTACAGAGATAAATATCACAATAGAAAACTTGGTCATAAAATAAATTTAGAACCAACATAGAACAATATTTCCATGCTTTATTACGACATAATCCATTAAATCACGAGCGAATTTGTACTTAAAACAATATCAGAGACCTGTTGCTTTCTCGTTTCACAAGACCTATATTTACATGTCGTTTTCATAACTCTAATCTGACATAAGTAAATTAATTTAGGAGCGCCGCATGCATTTTGATATAATTTTATATTTTCTTAATTCACATTTCATCTCATAAAGCGAAGTAATAAAAGTCATTTTTCATGCAATCTTGTATGCATTCAATTATTTTTTCTGCTCGTTTGCAAGCCTTGCGTTTACTCTACCGGTGGTACAAACCCACTTACATTGATTTCCCTTCGACTTTGCGACTTGACATATTTTCGTAATAAAATAATTCTTAAATCTTGTTATAAAAGTCATAGAATTTATTGCTGGGTCGTCGAAACGTTATTCTTTTCCAACGGAAAAAAATCACGGGACGGCACGGTAATTATCCTACTCATTTCTAATTATATTTGCGATGGAATGATTTTAAAGGGAGCTGCATGTATATTTAGATTCATGATGTTTTTCATTAAGGGTTGCAGGAGGCCAAGTTAATGCCTGTAGTGAAATGTGTTTTATATTGTGTGAAAATTCATTTGAAGCAGGGTCAATGTGATATTAGAAACTCAGTTGTCGTTTTATAGCTCGCACATTTTCCTGATATTGTACATGTAGTCATCTCTGATTTTCTTTCGGAAAAGATGAACAAGTATTTAGTGATATAAACTGTATTGTTAAATCAGGATAAATTCAAAATGCAACAAAAGAGTTTTGTAACTATTTCAGTTTTGAAATAAAGTATTGAAGCATTAATTAAACAGTAACATTGTTCAATCTTAATCAATTTCGAAAATGCAACAGAACAATGTATAAATATTTCCTTTTTTGAAAATACAGTCAGTTCATGAATCTCAAATTGTGTATGTTTTCAATGAATTGTGCAGATAAATTTATAACAATATCTAATTGTTTATTTTGATAAACATTTGCGATTTTTTTCTCTTTTAATTAAAACACAGTTGTACAAACAAAACGCCCAAATAATTCGCCTTTAACTTAATTATATTTTGCATTGCCGTAAAATCAACAAAAGTCGCGTTTTAACAACTATTAAATCATAAGATATCTAAGACCCCGGAACTTACTATAATATGACACCATTTATATATCATACATCACAATGGATATCATTTTTTGCTATTTATTTTGCAAAGCTATAATGATATTACACGCAAATTCTTCAAATGTTGAGATAAACACTTAAACTTACATCAATGAATTTTTCTACACGGCACTGAATTTTGTAATACCTTTAAAGGAAAATAGACCAACGCCCTCTGTTTAACGGCAAAAGAGATTAATATCTGGTTATTTTTACTTTTTGATATATACCTAGTACAGGGGGTCCCACCCGTCCCTCCCATAATCGATATCTTTCTTAATTCATTTTTCCGTGTATTTTTTTGTTTCGCTGAGACAATTTTGATATTAAACTAAGAGTCTATTTGCACTACAGTCATTTCAAAATAAACATCAGCCGGTAGCGTTTCTTTTAACAGGAAACTCCAGAAGTTTCCTTCATGGTTCATGATATCATTTTATGAAAATTTCATTTTCATGAATCAAGTCGCTCTCATATTAGCGTTGTAACACGATGCTGATTTTAAAAAAAAGAAACAATCTTTGTATGATATGAAACATTGAAAGTTGGTAGGTAATATACCACTGTGCAGGAGCTGATTTCGGCAGATTTTTATCAAAATTGGTGTAAGATCTTCATTTTTATTACCATTTACATTGTTATCAGTATTTCTAAAATCTCAAAACACTCAAGCTTGTAAGGAGTTTTCTTTCATTATTAGGATATTTTTATTCTTGCCTGTATTTTACATGATATTTTTTGTCGAGATTTTATCGGGATTGCTAATGAACGGATACCTATGGATTTTGCGGTGCCTAACAAGTCGGGGAGTCCTAGACGTAAAAAGCCGACGGGCTT